TATAAATTATTTGCAATTTTTATTTTAATTATTGTAACTATATTTATTATTGTTTAACACTTAACTCTTTCCATAGTATCTGTCGTTATCGTTATTTGATAGAAAATTGCACTTTTCAGATACTTTACTAGCTCAACTTTTTAATAAAAAGTATTTAAAAGCATCCTTTGTTATTAGATTTATTCTTAATATAATTAATAGTAAAATATTTTTTTTAAATTATTTTATTTAATTGTTGTTTATTAATTTTTTTTATTAAAATTACACTTATTAATGCGCTTTTCACCGGCACACGATCTTTCCCCAACGACGCTTGGACCGAACTAAACGCAAACAAAAACCCAAGCCATGTTTAGACTAAAAAATCTACTCTGGCTTAAACAAAATAAATGTTTCTCTTTGACTATGTTTATGTTGCTTTAGTTAATTTTCCTTTATTATCGCTCTCTTTCGCACCAGTTTGCGTACTCTTTTTTATTGCTTGGCTTAAACACTGAATATTTTAAGAGAACATTTTTGTATCAGACAGTTCTGACTTAAATACACCCTAAACAATACCCAGTAATGACATATAGAAGCGAAATACAAAAATATGTTTTTAAGCTATATATAAAAATTTTTTTTTGCTTTGTTTGATATACAGACAAACTTCCATAATTCGTACTTCTATAACTCGAATTTTCTATAACTCGAACTAAAACGATTGCAACAGGGTTTTAGAGAGCAAATTGCATAAAATTCTGCTTCCTTAACTCCAACTTCTATAACTCGAATTTCTCTATAACTCGAATAAAAATATTGTCGCATGCCAATATGAATATGAGAAAGTGCATTCTATAAGTCAAGTTTTGGTTTAAGTATGAATCCATTTAGTTGTTAGGGGAAGTCCCTTTTTCCAAAGCAAATGTTTCAATTTTTTCTTCCTTATATTGCTTCTTTGTGCAAATGTCAATCGTCAAACGATAGCGCACTGCTTTAAAAAAGCTGAATTTGGCCAATTTTCTACATCGGATGAACAGGATGATATTCCTTTAATTTCCTTAAATAATATAGATAAAGACTGTGAATTAATGTAAAAGTAAAGTTAATAAAATAACTTCTATTGCTACTCTTAACCTTTATATTATATTGAGCTTGACAATGAAATTTGTGCATCAAGATGACGATATTATTAAGCATTATAGCTCTATATATATCTCATTATAGTGGATTCGATTCTAAGCGCAACGGAAAGTGAAGATGAGGGTTCGGTGGATGAAATTGTTCGTCAACCTTCCAAGAATGAAGTAAAAGACTCATTCAAAATTCACTATAAGAGTTTGAATAAAATGGAATCTCTTTTTACGGATAATAAGAAAAAAATTAAAATCCCAATCCCTAATTTCTGAATATTTTATTTTACTATAACTTCTGTGCTGTATTTGATTGCAAATAAATAAATATCTTAAAATGTAATTCTAGTTTCTTTCAAAAATAAAACCTTTTCTTTGCAAAATGGTGCTTCGAGTTATGGAAGTTTGACTGTATATATTGTTTGATATATAATTACCTACATATATGTAATTATATATCACATAACTTATATATATTTTATGTGGTCTATAGCTGACAGACAATAGACTATAATGATAGGAAAGGTCAAAAGCAGTAGTAGAACTGAGCCAGATACTTTTCAAATTATTCAGCTCTGACTTATATCCATTCTACAAAATACTCTTTAATGACGTATAGAATGGATATAAAAATATGTTTCTAAACCATGTCTAAAAATGACTATTTATTACTTCATTATCTGTTTCATGATATATGTATAATTGCATATAAGTTAAAATAAATCTGTAACGAAGGTACAGTTTTAACTTGGTTATTACAATATAGTATTGTAGATATATAATATATATAGTAAAAATATATAGTATTGGTTAAGTACAATAAATAATTACAACATAAAGCTGGCAGAGAATTTACCATAGTGGTAGGAGAGGACCAAGAACTGAATTTTTATTTGTAAAATAACATATACCATACAAGGATCACAAAATATAATTGGTCACAAAAAAGTTTTTCGCTTCCCGATCTGTACATACTTATAGCACAATTTAGATTACATGAGTACGCCTATTTAACAAACGAGTTTTAAATAAGATGACTATTTTGTACAATCCATAATTCCACTAGGCTATATGCCAGTATATTTAATTAATTTTTTAGCAAATAGACGCACTATATATAATTAGTAAAAAGTTGCTTAAATAGCTTACTCTACTAATATCTCCTATTAAATTGATATACTCGGTAAATTAAATTCATGGCATTCTTAATGCATAGATTTAGAAGTGGTTTAGACGTTAGTATATAACCAATATGAGAACTTATACCAAAATACCAAAATAAAATTTAAGGTATGTCATTTCATAACATGGATTTATTAATTATATTTATTAATTACTTGTAGTATTATATAAATATATATATCGAATTTTCTTTCATGTTGAGCTCTATTTTCACTGTGTGGATATGTCAACAGATAGATTTGCAGCAATAAAAATCCACAAGTAACTGTTGAAAGACTATTGCATCCACAAAAACTCAATGTATGGTGCGATATTGTTATGGAGCTATGATAGACACAAAATTTGTTCTGGAAATATTGATGACTTGAAATAATTTTAAATTGTTAGCTTATGTTAGGTTAAAAGTACGTGTCCTAATATAACTGTTAGAGAGATCTAACACTTGGAGACAACTATTGTCAATTGTGATGCCAGGAAAGTCGCCTAAATGAGACAAGTTACGTTAACCATTGGTATAACTACTGATATTGACAATTGTTGCTTGGAGTCAAATTTAAAATATATATCGTATGTGGAAAAGATATAGTTTCAAGAGCACAGTGCTACAAGCCATGAAACATACACTTCTTTAGGCCCGTTGCGTAAAAAATTTCCAAAACGCGTAACTCCACATTTTCATCAATAAATTATTGTTATTGGAGTTGACGATACTTATGTATTATTATTCCTTCTTTATGAAAGAGCGTACTCATACCTTTATTATAACCCTCGAAATATATATCTTTAAAATATAATTATAAAAGGATATCAAATCCTTTTTAGGTTTATGATTATTGTTTGAAAATAAAAAAGTAAAAAGATTTATATAATTGTGCTAAATATACTCGATATAAATTTATAATACCTTGAACAATTTACTTTATGTATTGTATTTGGATCGACATAATATAAAAAGTATATATTTTTTCTTTTAAAACTCCAAGTAAAGGACATCACTTTTAAAATTTTATTTTATTTTAGTTTATTTATTTTATTTTATTTTATTTGTTAATTTTATTTTCAATTAAATGTATTTATTTTAACATTTTTTTATTTGTTTTACAAACTTATGTGGTGATATATTTTAATAGGCGTTTAATAAATTCTTTATGTCGGGAATATAGGGTTACTCTTCTACTACTCCTTCACAACACATAGTTTTTTTAATGATTTGTGCATGCAAAAGGTTATATTTTAAATGATTTTTTTTTATAGATGTCTGCTTTCATTATAAGTTCTTTGATATCAGTTGAGGTTGTCCAGTTAAATTTTAAGCTTCACTAAACCAAGTCACTATGAATTATGAGGAGTGGTATGTGTGATTTGACAACTATAAGGTAAGGAAAGCTGTAAGAGTATTTACACCTAAGAGCGGCAGATTGAACTCTTAGTTGATTATAAAATTATGTCTTGACCATAACGATTCCAATAATTGCCTGAGATTGATTTGGCTCTGAGGCAAAATATCTTCTAGTGTTCTATTGAAATATATTTTGTTTGAAATGTAAAAACTTTCAACAAACTTTCAACTTGGTATGCAAAGAATTAAAATTGTATGTCATTTCAAATGCAATCATTTATTGTATTTAATAGCTCTCACTAGTAATCAGTCTTATTAAGACAAAAATTCCGGTTCCGTTATGGACTTTAGTAAAAGCGTGTAAATTGTATTAAAAGCATATTATAGATGCTCTACGAGTATGATTAATAAGCTGACAAACAAATTCTAAAGAGATATTGTATTTCCTGTAGGAAGTGACTTTTCCTACATTTTTATTGAATTTAAGTTAGTAGTGAACATACTCAAACTGTAATTAGTTTGAATTTTTTAAATACAAGATATAATTTGTTTATTTCTAATATATACAATTTAAAAAATTAAATAATTTAATTTAAATTGCTTAAGTTTGTAGCGTTTTACTAGTGTTAATATAAATAAATTAAGTAATATAAAAATATTTAAGGTATTGCGAGGTTAAGCACACACGAAAATAAATCTAGAAATATCTAAAATCTGCAATTAGGTTTCAAAAATAATATTAAATAAAGAGATGATTAAGTTAGTGTAGAACATCTACTTTCTACTCTTACATCTATTGGTTACTATCTATTGCTCATTTTCAACAGCAATACTTTTGTGACTTTTTAACAGTTGCCAAAACACATTATCTCAACTATTATTCTGTTTACTTGCTAAATATATAGCAAGCAATACCGATTTAATTCGAGTTCAATAACCCTCTTACCAAGTAACTGATGACGACACTTCATTTTTGATAATATCTTTCAATCTTTGTCAATTTCATACATAAATTTTCAGTCATTATTCGTTTTGAAAATATTATATTTCCCCGTCTCACCCGGTCGATGTCTCATATGAAATAAACATGTGAAATAATAAAAAATTATTTGAACACTAAAGCACGTAGCAATTATTTAAAGCGTCCAGAATTAATATGAAGATATCTGTAAAAGACCTTTAGGTTACTATAAACAGAACTTTGCGTGGCTTTTGGTAAAATTCTTTGACAAAAATTCAAGCGTACTACGAAAGGTAATATATTTCTGATAATAAAATCGTTCAATTAGTACTGCTTGACTTTAGAACGACTATAAAAAGGTTAATAAGGTAATTTCAAATTACAGTTAAGCACTTTATATTGAAAAGTGCAATACATAATGAATTTGTGTTACCTAATTTGTTTTTATTCATTGGTTCTCACAGTTAGGACTCGAGCTGAATTGGATCATGACTATGTTTATGCGGATAGGCACAACGGACGAATTTGCTCTAATCATAATCCAGTCTGTGCTACGGATGGACAAGAGTATTTTAAATTTGAAAACGAATGTCATTTAAATGACCAAAATTTGGATCGATTATACAAAGGAAGTTATGGTATGTAAAGCACTATACTGGTGTTCTTGAAATACTTCTATAATTCAATATTTATTATATATGTATTCAAACTACTTTGCAGAACTGGAAATAGTTGACATGTCCTATTGCTATCCAAAATGTGATCAAATATTATGTCCCTACGTATATCGACCAGTTTGTGTTGCCTTAGCTGGTACCACAATAACAAAAACTTTGGCAAATGAGTGCGAAATCCATCGTCTAACGTGTTCAACAAAAAGGGGTAAGTGATATTTGATTATAATTCTTATGTAATCTTAAACAATAGCAATAACCTATCTGCCAATATAAAATATACTGATATACACATATAATATATTTAAAAATTTATTATTTTTAGATTGGTATATAATTAACCCCGGACCTTGTCAACCACACATTCCATGCCCACAAGTATGTACTAAAGAGTTTAGTCCAGTTTGTGCTACATACCATTATCACCGACGCACATTTACAAATCGATGTGAACTGCAACGATGGATGTGTGAGAATCGGCAAAGTTGGCATATCATAAACAATGGACCGTGTGTTACACGCTTACCTAGTGTTTGCACGTCTGTTTACAGACCTATATGTGCATCTTTTAATGGAATAACAAAAACATTTCCAAATGCATGCGTCTTACATGTAGAAAAAAGAACAACTGGTAAACATTGGGAAGTAATTGCTGCTGGGGAATGTAGCAATATATGCAGTCTTGGCAATAACCCAGTATGTGCATCATTTTATGGAAATCAAAAAACTTTTGCGAATCGTTGTGAATTAGAGCGAGAAAATAGTGGTTATATAAGTATGTCAATATAAGATATTGTTATTTAAAAACAAAATATTTTATTTTTAAATTTTTTAGCATGGACATTCGTTAATGAGGGCCCATGTCATGGAATTACAACAGCAAAAACCACTACTACTTCTTCGACCCCTGCAAGACAATATCCTTGTTTAGAACATATTCAAGTACAAAGTTCTATTGCAACTACAACTAGTAAAACTACAACAAATACTCCAATACAATCAATAGCGGATGAAGAAGAAACATTTGGTGTATTGGGATCTGATATTGAAAATATTGATGAATCTAGCATTCCATTGTCTTCCAATAATGCAAGCAATATAACAGATACAGCAACTCAGTCTACAACCGAGCTGAATAAAATCACAGCTTCAGGTAATTTATAAAAGAAATCTATAAATGAATTAATGACAACATTATACCCACTACCAATGTAGAAGCTGATTTCCAAGAAGAAGAAAGTTCGGACCAATTGCAAGCATTTGCTCAAAATATAGAAAGCCGACATCGAAAAACGACAACAAGAAAACCCACAACACAAACAACAACTCAAAAGCCTACAACTAAACAAACAACTACTACAACAACTAGAAAGCTACCAACTACAACTGTTACTACTACACAGAAACCAACCACGACAACTACAACTAAAAAAGTAACGGTAACTGTAACCCCAACCACAACATTGCGCACAAATCCAACACCAACACACACAACAACAACAACAAACAAACACACAACAGAATCAACAACCACAACAACATGGAAACCAATAACACAGTCTACAACTCCAAAACACACTACTACAAAGGAAACCACAACAACAGTAAAATCAACAAAAAGTACAGAACAACCAAAAACAACGACTACATTGAAACCAACAGCAACAACAACACATAAACCTACAACGACGACACTAAGACCTACGAAATCTACAGAGAAGCCAATAACAACAACAACTACAAAACTGTTCACAACAACAAAAACGACAAATAAACCTACTCCGACAACCACAATAAAAACAACAGAAACACAAACAAAATCCACTCAAAAACCAACAACAACAACTACAAAACTGCCCACAACAACAAAAACGACACATATACCCATTACGACCACCACAACAACAGCGAAACCAACAAAAACTACGAAGAAGCCAACGACAACCACTAGAAATCTACCCACAACGCCAACGACAACAACAACACACAAACCTGTTACGACAACCACAGTAACGACGACAACATCACCTACCCAATCAACAACTACAAGAAAGCCAACCACAACAACTACAAAAAATCCCACAACGACAATAACAACGCACAACCCCGTTACGACTACTACAACAACAACTTCGAAACCTACAACTACAAAAAAACCAAGTGACACAACCACAACTATTAAAATAACAACGACAGCAAAATCTTCAACAACTATAATAACCACTAAAGGGCCATCTACAACTACATCCACACAGAAGCCTACTACGACAACAACACTAACAACGACAGCTAAATCTACAACTACAGAAAAACCAACTGATACAACCACAACTACCAAAATAACAACGACAGCTAAATCTACAACTACAGAAAAACCAACTGATACAACCACAACTACCAAAATAACAACGACAGCTAAACCTACAACTACAGAAAAACCAACTGATACAACCACAACTACCAAAATAAGAACAACAGAAAAACCAACTGATACAACCACAACTACGAAAATAACAACGACAGCTAAACCTACAACTACAGAAAAACCAACTGACACAACCACGACTACCAAAATAACAACAACAGAAAAACCAACTGATACAACCACAACTACGAAAATAACAACGACAGCTAAACCTACAACTACAGAAAAACCAACTGATACAACCACAACTACCAAAATAACAACAACAGAAAAACCAACTGATACAACCACAACTACCAAAATAACAACGACAGCTAAACCTACAACTACAGAAAAACCAACTGATACAACCACAACTACCAAAATAACAACGACAGCTAAACCTACAACTACAGAAAAACCAACTGATACAACCACAACTACCAAAGTAACAACAACAGAAAAACCAACTGATACAACCACAACTACCAAAATAACAACAACAGAAAAACCAACTGATACAACCACAACTACCAAAATAACAACTACAGAAAAACCAACTGATACAACCACAACTACCAAAATAACAACGACAGCTAAATCTACAACTACAGAAAAACCAATTGGTACAACCACAACTACCAAAATAACAACGACAGCTAAACCTACAACTACAGAAAAACCAACTGATACAACCACAACTACCAAAATAACAACGACAGCTACACCTATAACTACAGAAAAACCAACTGATACAACCACAACTACCAAAGTAACAACAACAGAAAAACCAACTGATACATCCACAACTACCAAAATAACAACGACAGCTAAGCCTACAACTACAGAAAAACCAACTGATACAACCACAACTACCAAAATAACAACGACAGCTAAACCTACAACTACAGAAAAACCAACTGGTCAACCACAACAACCAAAATAACAACGAAAGCCAAAACAACAACTACACAAAAACCAACTGATACAACCACAACTACCAAAATAACAACAACAGAAAAACCAACTGATACAACCACAACTACGAAAATAACAACGACAGCTAAACCTACAACTACAGAAAAACCAACTGACACAACCACGACTACCAAAATAACAACAACAGAAAAACCAACTGATACAACCACAACTACCAAAATAACAACGACAGCTAAACCTACAACTACAGAAAAACCAACTGATACAACCACAACTACGAAAATAACAACGACAGCTAAACCTACAACTACAGAAAAACCAACTGATACAACCACAACTACCAAAATAACAACAACAGATACACCTATAACTACAGAAAAACCAACTGATACAACCACAACTACCAAAATAACAACAACAGAAAAACCAACTGATACAACCACAACTACCAAAATAACAACGACAGCTAAGCCTACAACTACAGAAAAACCAACTGATACAACCACAACTACCAAAATAACAACGACAGCTAAACCTACAACTACAGAAAAACCAACTGATACAACCACAACTACCAAAATAACAACGACAGCTAAACCTACAACTACAGAAAAACCAACTGATACAACCACAACTACCAAAATAACAACGACAGCAAAACCTACAACTACAGAAAAACCAACTGATACAACCACAACTACCAAAATAACAACAACAGAAAAACCAACTGATACAACCACAACTACCAAAATAACAACAACAGAAAAACCAACTGATACAACCACAACTACCAAAATAACAACGACAGAAAAACCAACTGATACAACCACAACTACCAAAATAACAACGACAGCTAAACCTACAACTACAGATAAACCAACTGATACAACCACAACTACGAAAATAGCAACTACAGAAAAGCCAACTGATACAACCACAACTACTAAAATAACAACGACAGCTGAACCTACAACTACAGAAAAACCAACTGACACAACCACAACTACCAAAATAACAACGACAGCAAAACCAAGAACCACAACCACAAAAACGACAGTTGAATCTACAGTATACACAAAGAGGCCAAAAACAACGACATCTACAGAGAAACCTTTTACAACAACCACAAAGGGAACGACAGCTAAACCTACAACTACAGAAAAACCAAGTGAGGCAACTAAAGATCCAATGATAACCACTGAATTTCCAACTGTCATTTATTCTAGGAGGACAACAACTCGAAAACTAGAAACAACAACGAAATCACCATCTACAATAATCAAGTACCCTTATATAACTACTAAGCCATCCTCAACTGTTGGTGATACAACAACCTCAACTACTACAAAGAAGACAACAACAGAAGAGCCATCTACTGTCAGCGATCCTTCGCCATCGCCTTCGACTACTACAACTTTTTCTACAACATTAATACTGCCATCCACTACTGAAAGTACCACAACTACTTCTGACAATTCAACAACTTCAAAGACAACGAAGCCATCAACTATGCAACCTGTTTCTTCAACTGTATATACGAAACCCACTTATAAGCCATTACCGCCATTACCTTATAGTTATCACGGAGATGATTATGGATATTTTGACTACATGTCTCCTGGGCAAGGCTCTATTTATCAACCATCAGCATATCATCAGCCTTCTATGGGACATTATTATGATGGTGCTTCAATGCATCACCCTATATATCCATCATATCCAGTTGCATATCCTAGATCGTATCCGAATGTGGGTGATATGCGTCATCAAGCATATCCTTCATACCAATTGGATTATCCTCAACCAAGGGTTGGTAACCTACAAGCTTATAACGCTCCACCTGACACTCCATCGAAATTGGACTACATTCTTCACAAACTTTGTGAATTAAGTGCTGCCTATAAGAAGAACAGCGCAAACAAAGAGTAGACTTACTCTTATTATTAATTACTATTAATTAGTTGATTCTGTGGCAGTTGCTAAATTTATTTACTTACGAGTATATTAAACTTTGAAACCTAATCAATTAATAAATAAAATATTTTGAGCATTAAAAAAAGATTATTTAATTTTCTAGATTTTGATTTATGAAATTTAGGCATAAGGAATTAGTAAAATTTGTTAAATACGAGCATGAATGAATATCGATTTAATTATAATTAATTACTTAAATTTTTATTTATTTTATTTTTAATAATATTTATGTATTATATTTCAAATCGATACTACTTTATATGCAAGCAACGAATCACACAACTGTCTTCAAAAAAATGTGGCGAGAAATAATATTTGATATATATCATTTGACACAATCGGATTAGTGTGGGCACCAATATCATCTAGTGACAAAAAACCGTTGGAACTTTTTATATCACCTAATATTGTATATTATATACAGGGTTATGGGATTGAAGTGTTACCAACTACATATAGGTATATTTTTCAAACTGATATTACCAACTATGTGAATAGGTGTACATATATTATATAGTACTTGCTATTCTTGATTGCGTTGAAAGGGCTGGTGTCGGTGGTGGGGTCTGAGATGGCTCATGGAATATAGAATAAAGAATAGAATATATATATATGAATATATTTAGAAAATATTCACATTTGTATGTTGATTGTACATCCCTTTTGAGCAAATGGAGGTGAGTTAAGTTGGAATACCCTCGTCCTGATCTTGTTATGAAGCACTGCTGAGAACGTGATAAATTGGGTTGGTAAATTGTGTACATATTTTTTTCAATCGTTAGAAATGTGGAAACATTATGTTTTATTGAAAATTTTGTTGCATGATTTTAGGATCACATTCTGGTCTGTTTCAACTGTAATGCATTTCAAACTGTTGATAGATAAGTTTAAACATAGAAATATAATTTTACCATTTTACAATCACTGTAAATTTCACGCGATCAAAGATATTTTAAGCAGCAAACTATTGTATTATTAATTTTTTTAGAAAGATCAAAATAAGTCTTTATGTAGTTTATTTATTCAGTGCAAGTTATAGGCAAAAAATCTATTCCAAAAAATTTAATAACAGTTTCTATGTTATTTTAAGTATTCGCAAATAATTTCGATGTTTTCATTTATCTTCACTTATATTTACTGAGTGATGAATATTCTTAAGTTAGTTAATACCCACCATAAGCTAATGTAAATGTACGTTTCAAAGGAATTCTTAAGACGATATTATGGAGCCAAATATTATCAAAAAATAAACTATGGATCTATATTCCAGAAATCAATAGAAGTGTGCATATATTTATCAGAAAACGATAATTAAAATTTTTTTAGAAGTGTGCGTACTCCTCATTATACAACCTTTGTATAGTTTATATAGCATAAATCCTACATCATTTTAATATTTATTATTATAACGTATAATAAATTCATTTTTTTTATATCATGTAATAGTCATATGAAATTTGGATTTGACATAAAAAAGAAAAGAGCACGCCTTGTACTAAATTCTTTTAGAGTTGCACTAATCTGAAATAACACTTACCTTTCGCATCTGGATATGGTATGTGCATCAATTGAGTCGATGGAACAATCGTCTGCAATCGAATTATACACGTTTTGTGTTGTGTCGTAGCAATAACTGCAGCTGCAAAACGAATACTGTGAACAGCAGAGCGACGATGCAGCCTCGATATCATCATCCAAATCTGTAATGGTAGGAGCACCGCTTTTGTTTTCCTGCTCAAAATATGCCGTAGCGGCTGTTGCTGCCGGTGGAGTACTCAATTCCGATTGCACACTACTGGATTTACGAGACCTGTCAAAACAAAAAAAAAAAACAAATAATACAAATAAATAGGAGGCAACGAAATTAAAATTTGAAATTTTAGTTAAAGATTTACAATAAATTCGAGGCTCATAACATAGCTTACGGCTTCCAATCTATAGCTACTTGTACCGTTTTTAAAAATATTTGGCAATCATACCTCTTGCTGCGCGTATCCACACTATCCACAACTACATTCCAGGTGCGGTGTATTAAGTATAGAAGAAACAGCATTCGGGATGTTTCACCATTTGGTGTGCCTTGTGTGCTACTCTTTTGTGTGGTCTGATTATCTGGATGGAAATTTACATCGTAGTGCGTTGATGTTGAGCTGCGCGTATGCCGTGCTGGCAGGGTTTTCGATTTAAAGTCCGCTACATGCTCTTGTTGGCGGTACCGTGAGTTATGGCTTCTTGTGGTGGTAGAAGTTTGGTACGCGTGCGTTATGCTATTACCCATCTTGGTGTGTGAGCATGCTTTCAACTTCTGTATGAGAAAATTATTTTGCAAACTGTAATAAAATAGAATAAATTCAGATGACTGTTTGATTCAGAAAGGTTAAATAATTTAAAAAAATATAAAATTTATAATCAATATGCGACCAACTGGTTGATTCAAAATAGTTTAAACTGTGATAAAATTTTAGTTATGGAAGTAGTAGAGTAGTAGCTATACAGTGTGAGGCGATTGAAGTGTTACCAATTACACACAGGTATATCTGCCAAACTGATATTGCCAACTACGTGAAATGCTTACAAATGACAGCTGTTTAAATTGTTTATAAGCTACCACAAGCATTTGCGTCTAAGTTTTATAGAACAAAAGTTATTCGAAATGCAATTCAAACGTAATAGTGTGATTGCGTTATATTTCACCGGAAAATCACAAACAGCTATTTTTCGTGAACTCAAATACCTCAAAGTGAATAAAATATTTGTGTATCGTATCATATATCGATATAATAGTATAGGCAGCGTCGCGAAATGCTATGGTAGTGGACTAAAAAAATCGCAAAATCATCTAAAATGGTTCGGAAAGTGAAGGCTCGACTTAAAAGAAATCCACGTTATTTCATCCAGTGCTAATTAAATGTCCAAAACAACTGAAAATATCCTAGCGAAGCATTGGACGCACAATCCAAAATGGACTCAAGGTAAAGCCTTATAAGTTCGAAAAGACACAAGATCTTACACCAAAGCAACAAAAAGTTAGATTCGATAGAGCAAAGGAGTTATTATGCTTGCACGAACGTGCCGAATTTCCAAACATTGTGTTCTATAATGAGAAAATTTTCTCCAGTGAGTAGTTCACAAACTATCAAAATTATCGCATTGCGTACAGAATGCTTAAAATTTGAGACTACGAATTGTCACCCGAAGTATTTTTCATTTCAAGTAATAGTATGGACAGCTATGATCGCGTCGATGGACGCTCTCCAATCGTTTTCATCGAACCTGATGTCAAAGTCAATGCAACTTATTATCGGGAAAATGTTTTGAAAGTTGCTTTTGACTCGGCACCTTCTCATAAAGCACGTGTGAAACAAGAATTGTTTAAAAATTATGTTCTACACTTCATTTCATCCACACAATGGATTAGAAATTGTAGTAGTTACAATGAAAATACTTGGCAGAAGCTCACTTATGTCTTTTATGTGTACCCATAGTAATACTACATTTTTTAACAGCGGACCACTTTTTTATTTTAGTGAAAAGGACACATGGCACTTGAGGAAGCAAGACCTCTAAATAATAAATCTGTCTTAGACGAGTACTGAGCTATGACAGAGCATATAAGTGACATTATTCTTTTCCTCCATTAAGTCATAGTTACAGTGGATGTTGATAAGACCACCTAATTGTCTACCTGTTGTCTACCTATTAGACAATGTCCCGTAAATATGGTGATTCAAATCAGTTTAGTTCTTTTATATTTAGTAATTCATAACAATTTCATAATTTCAAATCATCAATTATAAAAAAAATCGATTTTGATCGTAAAAAAAAAATCTTTTCTATATTTCTATATACAGGGTCGATATAAAATATATAGGTATTTTTGTTATGACCACTTACTAGTGCCATTATCACATAATTATACATTTATATGGGCTTTTACAAAATAATTTATTCTTTTATTTTTTCTCTTAATATTCTCTTAAATTATTCTCTTAATTTTTGGAGACGTATTTAAAAGGTTACTGATATCTCTTTTTTTTGCCAAATTATATAAATTATAGAAATAATATATTATTATTTTTTTTTGTAGTTTATATTGTGAGAATATCCATATATCCGCTAGTACTTGAGTGGATTATTTCCAGCAAAGAGAGGAGTCTTCGGATGCAAATCGATGTTTTTGAAAAGTATCAGTATCTTATCCTTATGAACTAAACTAAGTATGAGTTCGGAGATCTCTATGCAAGTACTGATGTACCATATTGCCCTCACGATCTACTTTAACGCTTGAAATTTGAAACGCTTAAGGAATAAGTTTCAGGAATCTTGTCAAAAAAAATTCAGCAATATAACAAAATAGGTCTCGCTGATTATTTATAAGTTGATGTCTTATTTCTGAGGTTTCAGTGTGGTAGTCTCAATTGGTTACAAAATGAAATCAAAACTTTAAATCTTTATAGTTGAACTGAATGTCCAACTTCTTAACTCTTATATAATTTTCTCTAAACTATTAATTAACGTTCATAATATACAAGTAGCCACCATTTACTGTATCTTAACTTATTCAAGTGTTAAGTATTTTCAAGCAACTTCTCTTAGTATGTCATAAATTTTTAGCCTCGCTAATGCTTCTTCCAAACCAAAGTGCAAAACAAAGTTCTCAGTGATATATTTATTTATAGTATGTCTACTTTAAGCAGAAGTATATTACATACACTTATACAATTTCAAACCATTTACCCCATATTTTTCCAAATCAATACTCCATCATCTTCATCATTCCTTTCTCGTAACCAAATCTTCTTTTTAAAGACGATTTAGCAATTAGTTTCATTGCTCAGTTGGTCAAGAGACTTGCTGTAAATTGGTTACTATGTGTACTACTTTTCTCTGGTAGGAGTTACTTATGCATATTTATACACACCTCACGTAACTGTCAATTTGATGTAGATGAAATACATCCACATCAATTGAAGACGTTGCAATGTACATGCCATATCCATAACAACTTCTCAACTGTAAAAGAATATTTTAACTTTTTTCCCAGTACTAATAGTTCTCGTAGCGCAGCAACTCTCTAAAATATGTAATAGGAATGAGTGTTACAAAAAGAAGAAGAACTACAATGCAAAAAAAAAAAAAAGAATTACAGAAAATTCTAAGTAGAACTCTATGATTGCTGGTTATGAAGTATTTATAAATTCGCTTTGATTGGATTGCTCTCTCCTAACCTACATGTTAGCAGTATGTGATCTTCACAAGCACATAAATATTGTAAATCTCATCAAAGAAAACTGAAACGTACGATTGAAAGGCTTGGCGATCAAAAGTCAAAAGTAATGATGATCCAAACGGATTGTAAAAGTCTGTGTTTGCGTGTGTCTATTATATTATGGACAATCAGGAGAAGTTGATTTTATGGTGCACTTTTCAATATTGAAAATTATTTTATTTCCTTCTGTTTTTCAACTTCATAATTATACTTTCACTACTTTTTTAAATTTTTAAATTTTTATAGCTTATGATCAAGTTTTATTTTTTTTTTGTAAGAGGGAAATTGCTTAACACAGAGTTTTTTATTATATAAATAATTTTATAATTAATAAATATTTTGAATATGTAAAAATACAAAAATGGATTAAAAAAAACATATTTAATCTTTAAACTCCAGCAATTTTGTTTTACAATGAGATCGAACAAGACGTATTTATAATATATAATTATTTCATCTACATTATTCCTTGAAGAATTCAAATTTTTTTAAAACTCACTTTGAGACAGTAGAGTGAAATATATTATGTTTTGAAAATATTTTAAATTTTAAAATATATTTAAAATATATATAAGTATTTAACATATATAACATTTCTATTACTCATTTATGATCATACATTCTGCTCAAAAAGTACTCGGATTTTGTAAATAAAAGACACAAATTTAAATTTTATTCCAAATTTATTTTATCTTCTTCAAAATATGCTCTTTAAAATATGCTCCTGAAGCGATACACATATGCCAACGCTTAATCGAATCTTCCATACACTTTTCGTAGGTCCGTGAAGGTATGACTTTTAGTTCCTTCAGCGAATTCTCTTTTACCGATTCAATTGACTCAAAACGCTTACCACGAAGGTGCAATTTGAGTTTCGAGAACAGGAAAATCTCGCACGGATCCAGATCCAGACAGTGGTGTCGTGTTTGGTCAAAAAATCGCATACAACAAGAATTTTCCATAGTAAAAATCGGTAGTTGTAGCACTTGAGGTAGTTTCACATGAACAGCTGCTGTAAACAAACTAATTGACAGATGGCGCTCAAATTTGTACCATATATTGTACCATATGTCATACATCCAACATGCAGAAGGTATAGGTACATATTATATATACTCAACTTCTTCAATTTAGTATCGATATGTTTGAAGATCGTATATAACAATATGTGACTTAGAAATAATTTTCAATTTAATTTATTCAATTTATATTATTGTTAGGCCCTCAACACTAAGTGAATCCAATTTGAGTCTCCGAAATATGTCAACATATCCCGTAACATCATAACCTGAACGATAGAGATAGAGTTTCCATAATAACTTACAGAGGTATGTATATCATAATAACTGAAGTAGATATGCCAAATATAGTTAAAAAGAAGGTTTTATATAGTTGCAAAAAAGGTGTTATTCAGACACGTTCTAATCGATTTATTGGCATCTTCAAAATTTTTGCGTCAAAGATTTATTCACAATATCTTTTATTCATGAAGAATGAAAATGATTAGTTTCTATACTATTCTATATTCTATATAGTTTCTAAACTATTTTCGGTTTCAGACAGTTATCTTATAAAGATAGACCATTAGTTAAAAATACTTTTATTGATGAATATCGAATATTTTAATCATTATTTTTGAAATTCTTTCGATTTTTGATATATAGAACAATTTCAAATTGATTTTAAAATAATTAAGATAAGTAAAGTTGAAATACTTCTTTTTGCCTCTTGTTTATATCAGATAAACTTTAATTCTAACAATCTATAGTGCAACTTATGCAACATAGTGGAGTCAGAGTCTGTTATTAATTCTTAAGCTGTTGTAGTTAGTGCTCTAATATTTATTTTCATACCTAATCAGTTTGCTCACGTGTATCTTATTTTAATATACTTTATTAAATCGAAATGGTGTCATTCTACTAAATAATTAAAAAAATTTGAATTAATGTTAAATAGAAACAGACATGCAATTTAACAATTTAAAATAAATATTGTTTACGACACATGCTAAGTTAAGAATATTATGGACTCGATCA